AGACTTCTGGCAAGCCGCGCAGGTGGCGCGCGTGCTGGCGGCAAACCGCGCGAAATTGCAAACGAGGTTCGTGGGCGCCCTGTCAGGCGTTCTGGCAACCGACGAGCGCTTGGCCCTACCTCGATCGCGCCATCGAATGACCAGGGGCACGGGGGCGCCGCGCCAGAGCGCGTCGCCGCCATGGGCTGGGCCAAGTCCGAATGCGCCTTCCACTCTGTTCGGGGCTTCGTGGGCGCGCTCAGGGAAGCCGTCGGGGTCGACGAAGAAGTAGAATAATAATAATAATAAGAAGAAGAAGACGAGGCCGTCATCGCGATCGCGGAATTCATGGCCCTAGTTGCAATCGCGGCCATGGCTGGGGCAGAAGGCCGGTGGGCGCAGGACGTGGCAATGCACGGCGGGGACAACTACAGCGTGCATTGCTGGCTGCAAAACAGGCGGGCGAAGAACCGATGCGCCAATTTCCTGATCGCGGTGGTCGCGCGCTTGGAGGCGGTCTACGACTACGAGATCGCGAGCGCGCACTTCCGCGCGAGCCGCAGCGCGACGACCGACACCTTCTCGCGGGTGGACGGGTGGGGGCCCAAGAGGATCGCGAAGAAGACAACCCTGGAGGTCGTCAACATGCAGGGCAGTTGGGCCAGCCATCTGGAGAAGGTTTGGCTGTTTCTGTCGCTGATCTGGGAGGTTCCGAAGTCACGGGGTCGCGCGGGTTGCTCCGCAGCTGGCAGCGGCCAGGACGGAGCCGCGTCGCCCGAGGGAGCTCAGGATGCCACCAAGCGAAACAGTTGTGAACGTCGAGTGGCGCGGAGCCCTGGGCGCCCATTTCAAGGCGAGCACCGGGCGGGGGGCCATCGCCCGGATGCGCGGCGGCGCGGGGGGCCCGACGGCGGAACATGTCCCCCGGCCGCCCAGGGTCGCCGAGTGAATGGCCAAGACGGTTGTTGAGCGAGTGGACATCGCAGTTGCCAGCCTCACGAATGACGACGGCGAGGAAGCGAGGCGCCGGGCGGAGTTCGATATCCAGGCAGGAGCGCCAACGGCGATCACCGACGCCCCGGGGGCGGCTAGGGCGAGCCCGGCCAGCGCGAGGCTCAGGGGCGAGGGCTACAACTGGGAGGGGGTGGGGGCGTGCCGCGGGGAGCTGGGCGATGCCGCGGCGCGGCACAAGAGAATGATGCTGGGAGTCAGAAGGGGCGGAGAACCCACCGGCCTAGGCCAGGGGCGCGTCGATCCGATGAGCATCCGCTCCTGCCTGGGCAATGCACGGGCAGAGGCTGCGCGCCTGGGAGGCGACGGCGGGATCCTGGTGCTCGGCCCGCGCGCCCGCGAACGCGGCGGCCCAGGGGGGGGCCGAACCCCGCGGCTACTGGCGCCCCAAGGAGGGGGGGGGCGAAAGAGGTCGCGCACTCCGTTGGGCATTGTACCCAATCTCTCCGTACCCATTTCGTTCGTGCCCAGGGTGCCAGGGGAGCGCCAGGAAGCGACAGGGCAGGTCGGGCCCCCCCTCCAGTGCGGGCGGGGGCCCCAGAGGGGGGCCCGCGGCTCGCGGAGCGTGGCGAAGGCGCCACGAGGAGCTCGAGGGGGGGGGCAGCGGCCACGGCGATGCGCCGGGCCGAAAGCTCGCGCCTCGGCGGGCGGGGCCGCCCGCCAGGCGCCTCTCGGGGCAAGAGGAAACCAGGGCGCGCAGGCATCGTCGTCGCCATCGGATGAGGAGGGGCTAGGCTCGTGAGCCGGCCTGGCGGGCCCGATGCGCCCGCGCTGCAGTGGCGAAGGTGTGAGGAGGAGGCCGGGCGGTTTTGCAGAGCAGTTTGGAGGCGGCTGGTTTTCAGAAGGTGGCTCTCGCCTTAGTGCCGCGCACATTCGATTCAACATGTCTGTAAAAGTTTCACGGGTGGAGGGCGGGCCGCTTTCAACATGTGGCTCTAGCTTCAGTGACGCGTATATTCGTCTTGGGGGCAGGTTCTTTTCAACATGTGGCTCTCGCATTAGCGCCGCGCGAATTCGTTTCAAGAGTTTACAGCAGCTTGATGGACTCTCATGGTTAACATCCCAACATGGCATGTTCATAGGATGTCTGACTGTCAGCGCGCAAAGGTTACGTTGATTCGTGGTGTGAAGGCCCAGAAATGGCGCTCTGGTGCGATTCAGGGTATTCAAGATGCAACAATAGCGGTGATTCGCGGCGCTAAAATCTCAGGAATAGTGTTCTGGTGCAGTTCAGGATTTCCGAACGGTTATCTTCTAACGGGGCATTTCCCTCAGTGAAAATGAACCCGGTTCTGGGGGGCAACCCCCGCAAGACCTCCATCACCATCACCTTCAAGCGTAGCACCGGGGTCACGGACATGTGCCCGACAATTCCTGATAAGGGAGGCCGCTGCTCCGCAGAAAACCAATGTGTGTCGACTGCGGCCCCGCCAAGAGCCCTTCTGGGGATGGGCTGGCATCCCCCGAATCGCGCGGCCCTGGCGATTGGAGCCAGAGTTTCGAGGACCCAGGGATGTCTCAGCCGAAACGGACCACAGTGCCTCAAGTCAGGGCATCTCGGAGCCTGGGGCTCTGAGGATGTCTCAGGCGAAACAGGCCTGAGCACCTCGTGAATCGCGTCTTGGAACCCAGAATTGGGAGGATATCTCAGGCGGAATGTGACAGAGCACCTCAAGTCAGGGCATCTCGCATCGATCGAACCGGGGCCTGAGCACCTCGCAAAGCGCATCTTGGAGCACAACGGGGGGGGCATCTCAGGCGAAACGGGCCAGAGCACCTCAAGTCAGGGCATCTCGGAGCCATGGATTCCGAGAGTGTATCCAGCGAAACGGGCCTGAGTACCTCGCAAAGCGCATCTTGAACCCGAAATGCGAGGATGCCTCAGGCGAAACGGGCCAGAGCACCTCAAGTCAGAGCATCTCGGAGACAAGGTTTCCGAGCATGTCTCGGGCGAAACGGGCCTGATCATCTCAACAAGCACATCTTGTAAACGTCGTGAGGATGTCTCAGACGAAACGGGCCAGAGCATCTCCAGCCATGGCGCCTCGGAGCCAGGGGTCCCGAGGATGCCCGAAATGAAACTGGCCAGACCCTCTATGGGCCATGGGGCGCACCGAGCTGTTTTGCAGGCGACCCCTCCCCAACACCTCCCTGGCACCGCCGCTAGGGTTGCCAAGGCCGCCCGGGGCCGCCCCTGGTGACCCAGGCACCCGCGCTCAGGTGCCCTGCCTCCCCGCGCCCCCGCCGGCTGAGGAAAGCCACGGAAGGGTCCCAAACAGCCCCCACGGCATACAAGAGAGTGGCCAGCGTTTTTTTCTTTTTTGCCACATGGAACGCCAGGTCTGTTAGACAAAACTGTTTGACAGCTGGGTCTGGATCGCAGCCATGCTCGGTTAATAAATCCTCTGGTGCGCTGACCCTGCAGCTCTGATCACGTAAACGCCCACCTCCTACAACAAGCGGGCCGTTCGAGACATCCCCGTAATCTGGTCGCGAACAGGCCCGTGAAATACCACTGGTCGGCAGAGCGCTGGCACGTGTCACAAGGCACGCTCGAGCCGCGTCCAGCCCTGGCGACGAGGAGTGTCCGAAAGCATCGGCGAAACATTTGTCTGACTGCAATGCCAGCATTATCATCCCTCCTCGTCTCCTTCATCCTCCTCCTCCTCATTCTCCTACGCTCCTCCTCCTCCTCCTCCGCCTCCCTCTCGTTCCCCCTCCTCCTCCTCCTCCTCCTCCTCCTCCTCCTCCCGTTCCCCCTCCTCCTCCTCCTCCTCCTCCTCCTCCTCCTCCTCCTCCTCCTCAGCCATAGCTCGGACTTGCGAGGACGTATCATGCGAAACTGGCCAGACCACCTCGCACGCGGTATCTTTGTACCCAGAAATGCGGGGATGTCTCAGACGAATACGGCAGGATCACCTCGCGGGTGGCTTCTCCAAGCCTAGAGTTGCGAGGATGTCTGAAGCAAACCGGCGGGGGAGGCCGCCTCAGGTCACAGCATCTCCGAAACCAGAATTTCCGGTATGTTTCCGCCGAAATGGGCTGGACCACCTCTCGTGCGACATCTGTGCGCCACGAATTGCGCACATGTATCAAGCAAAACGGGCTAAATCAACTCAGGTCTGGTCATCTCGGAATAGAGCCTTGAAAGGACGTCTGAAGCGATACGGAAGCTGCTCACCTTACGGCTTCGAGAATGTCTCGACGCGCGGGACCTTCGAACGGCACTCGATCTTACCACAACCATGCACCCCGGCACCAGCCGGGCAACCCGGGAACACCCAACAACAAAACCTTGATGCCGGCGTCAAACGAGAACCTCCCATATCGTTGATGGATAAGTCTTGGGTCTGCAATGGTCCTCCTCCTGCCCCTCCTCCTCCTTCTCCTCCTCCTCCTCCTCCTCCTCCTCCCCTTACCTCCTCCTCTCACATCATGCTACTCCTCGCCCTCATGCCTCTTCGCTCCTCCTTCATACCCTCTTCCCCCTTCTCCCTTCTCCCCTCCTCCTCATCCTCCTACCCCCTCCTACCCCCTCCTCCTCCTCCTCCTCCTCCTCTTCCTCCTCCTCCTCTTCCTCCTCCCCCTTGCTCCCTCCTTCCTAGTCCTGCTTATATTCACCCCCTTCGCGCATTGTCTCACTCCAAAATTCGTTGCTCTGGACGCTGCTCTGGACCCACGTAAAACTAGGCACCCACAACCTCTATGGAACGCGGCCCATCACCCTCCTTCTCCTCCTGGGAGGACGAGAAGGAGGATGAGGCGGAGGAGGAGGAGGTGGAGAAGGAAGCGGAGGCGGAGGCGGAGGATGAGGAAGAGGAGGAGGAACGGAGGGAACAGGGAGAAGGTTGATGATGAACGTCATCCGCTGCCTCCCTTTCGTCCTGCCTCGTCCTCCTCGTCCTCGTCCGAACCTTCTCCTCGTCCCCCTCGTCTTCCACGCACGCCCCCGCGCCTGCGGGACGACGACGACTCCTTGCCCCGCCCCCTGCCGCGCGACACGGCGGCGCGGGGGTCCTCCTGGGCATAGATCACGACGATGCCGAGCTCCTGGGGCCCTGCTGCTCCCCCTTCTGCCCCGATCTGTTTCGTCCTCCTCGCCTCCCTCGTCCTCCTCCTCGTCCTCCTCCTCCTCCTCCTCCTCCTCCTTGTCCTCCTCCTTGTCCTCCTCCCTCTTCTTGCCCCTCCTCCTGTTCCTGCTCCTGTTCCTCCTCCTCCTCCTCCTCTTCCTCTACGTTCTCCTGCTTCTCCCCCCTCCTCCTCCTTCTCCTCCTCGTCCTCCTCCTCCTTCTCCTCCTGCTCAGATCTCCCTCCTCCTCCTCCTCCTCCCCCTCCCCTCCTCCTCCAGTCCCTCCTTCCCTGCCTCCCTTTGCTCCTGCTGGCACGACAGTAACTGGAAGGACGACGAGATGAAGGATTGAGGAGATGAGGGCCAGCAGCTTGAGAGAACACCCTCGGAGCCTCCCCGTCCACACCTGGCCTTCTTCCTTGTCAATTGTTTGAGGCCCAGCCTGGGAACGGGCGTTCATGAGATGAAAGGGGCAAGCGCGTCCTCTTGCTACCGACTCGCGTAAATGGGCCAAACATGTGGCGCACATGGGTTCGCAGCGCGCTCCGGCACAGCTCCGCCTGAACGCTCTGGACACATGTATTGTCGACCTGTTTCCTCCATAAAACGACTGGCGCGTTCAGGGCAGATGGTAAGCAAAGTGAACCATTCTGGGGTCTGCTAGGACTTCAGACTGAGCTTGCACGCGCGCGGCTAGGATCGGACAGAACCTGCACACGAGAAGCGTGCAGCACGAGCATGCGGTGATACGCCCACGACAAATATCGTCAGCCAAGGACGGCATGCCGTATTGCATGTACACCTCGAAACACATATCATTTGCAACAACATTCAGAAACAGGGCGAACACAACGGTTATGCTGCTGCTGCTGTTGCTGCTGCTGCTCCTGGCCGTGTACGGATTGCAGCGCATGCAACAATCAAATGCACTCCACGCGCGAGGCTCAGAAACCTCCTACGCGGGCTCTCTGGGGTGAAGGGTTCGAGCATCCATGTCGCCAGATCGGTCGCGAGGCCGAGCGGCAACCGCCGATAGGGGCCACACACATATATATATATATGTATAGATATGTTTATGTAGATATTATATATATAGATATCTTTTTACACGTTCTGGCATCGCCGTGATTTGTCAGTGCCTGTGGAGGTGGTCGATGAGCTGCCGAATCTCTGCTTGCTCGTCGCGGCCCGACGTCGGGCTCACGCCGTGCAAAAAGCCAACGGCCCACTGAGCTTTGCCCGGGTCAGGCCCAGGACATCCGCCAAGCGCTCCGTCTTCAGCCCGTTGGATCGTTTCGTCTCTGGGCTGAGCCTGTCCACGCGCTCCGTCCTGCGCAGGGACCGACCGCCCTGGCACTCCTGTAGGCCTGCCACGACATGTTTCCCCAAACCCCCCAAAAATGTTCTAAGAACAGCCACCGTGTTCTTGGAACGTGTACCCGACGTGTTACAACCAGACATTCCCAGCCAGAGCTGTCCTAAGAACATCCCGTGGGAACCACAGCAAGGCTCCTGGAACATTGCTTGGCAGGCCGATAGGCCCGCCAGGATGCTTCGCCACTGCCTGGTCTTCAGCCAGCCGGAGCGTTTCGTCGCCAGGCTGAGCCCGTCGACGAGCTCCGTCGTGCCCGCCGCGATCTCCGAAGCGCCCACGTCGGGGGGGAGGGCGCCGCCCGCCCGCGCCGGGCACGGCGCCAGGTGCCTCGGGCACGCGGCCTCGGGGCAGCCGCCAGGTGCCTCGCCTTCCGCCAGTCGGAGCGGCTCGTCCCTGGCATGAGCCCGTCGACGAGCTCCGCCAGTCAGTCATCCGAAGGCAAAACACAGAGGACAGAACATCCACCCCAATAGTAGCCGCGAAGCCGTTCAGTGCACGCACTCATCGGAGGAATCAAGCAGGGCAGGGCTGTTTAGTAAACGCCCGGGGCCGCTTAGTAAACGCCAATTATCCTTTCTGGGTGGTTTTTCCTCCTTGAACCCCCCCAGAGTAAACACCCCGACAAGCGAAGCCGTTTAGTAAAAACGCACCCGAGGAAATAATCGAACAAGACAGGGTTGTTCATCGTCGTCGCTGTCCGCCTGGTCCCCCAGGCCACATACATAACAGAAAACTGAATCCCTGGCGCAAGCCGAATCCATAAGTCCTCTGATCCTGTCACCCCCACAACCTCCTTCCCCAAGCGTCGGGAGGGGGATCAGGGATGAGAAGGGATGGCAAGGGAGGAATAGGAGGAGCAGGAGTGATGGAGGGGGAGAGAAGAAGGAGGAAGGATCGCGAGGACGAGGACGAAAATAAGAGGTGGACGATGAGAACAAAGATCTCTCCTGGAACACACTCTTCCAATCCACGCCGAGGAGATATCTCTCGCACGTGACCTGTGGGCTGTCGCTTGCTCTGTTCTCACCTTCCTGCGCTGCTCTCCCCTGGAGGTCTCTGGACATTCCAAAAAGTTTCGGAAGGTCCCAGGAAGTTTTGGAAGGCCTCTGTGGTCAGGGCCACCTAGACGGGGACGTTGATCAACCAGGACATTGGCGCACCCAAAAGGAACGCAATCGTGGTCGAAACGTTTTCCATTCTTTCCTCCTCGCCGACGCCAACACACAAAGACAAATCACATCCAACAATTTCTGGGCTAGAAGCTCACTTGCCCCCCCTGCGCTTTTAAGGAACATCTCCTTAGTAAAAACCTGAAGAAACGGGAATAAGGAATCCGTGATAAGGAATCTTTATTTAGGAACCATCAATGAGGACAATTTGCCAAGGAATCTCTACTAAGGAATATGTGATAAGGAACCCTCGATAAGGAATATATGCGGAGGAATATTTGTGAAGGGATGCTTACCCAGTAATCCCTAACGAGAACCTTCACGAACGAATCCTCAACAAGGGATCTGTACGAAGGAACCTCGAGTAACGAATCTTCTAGACCCTTACTGAATGATGTGTACTGAGGAATTCTCAATACAGAATATGGATTAAAAGCATCCTTCATACGGCATCTTTACTCAGCGATCCTTAGTGAGGACTCTGTACGAGGGACTCCCACTTAAGGAATCTTTACTAAGGAAGAGTGACTAATGAGAACTCTGTGCTAAGAAAGCCGTAGGCAAGAGTCTTGACGGATAATCCTTTGATAAGGAACCTTTTCCAGGGAATCCCGACTACGGCATCTTTACTAAGGAATCCTCAACGAGAAATCTGTACTAAAGAATCAGTGTTGAACAACAAACCTGTACGACTAAATTCTTAATGCGGGACCTTCACTAAGAACTCACTTGAATATGGGCCTTTACAAACACATCCTTGGTGAGGAACGTTTGATACGGAATCCTTAACAAGGAACCGTTTGCTGGGGAATCCTGGGCAAGGAATCTGAACTAAGGGCTCCTTAGTGAGCCTTTACGACATAATCCTTACAACAAATTCTGGATAATCCTTGATACGCAATCTTCACGAAGGATTCCTTACGACAGAATCTGTACTAACGAATTCTTTTTTCAGGAATATGTACGGAATAATCCGAAATAAGGTATATGTACTAGAAGAATATGGCACCGAACTCGAATTCGTAAGGAGTGTATACAACAGGAACTCTTAATATTGAATCTGTATTAAAGAATCCTTGGAAACACTGTTCCGAATGAATCCTCAATAATGGATCTGTCCGAAGACGTCCTCAATGAGGAGTTGCTGTGACGGAGTCCTCAATGATACGCATCTCAACTTAGGAGTCCTTGATAAGAAATATGTACCACGGCATCCTTAATGAGGAATCTCGGCTGGTAGATACTGAGTATAATATGTAGTAAGGAATCTTTCATAAGAAAGATTTGCTCCAGAACCCCTAACAAGGAGTCAGTACGGGGGAATCCTTGATAAGGAATCTTCGGAAAGGAATACCGATTAAGGAATATGTGCTAAGGAGTTCTTCATGAAGAAGGACCCCCTCGGGGAATGATACCGGAGAAAACCCCAATCATCATCTTTTTATGGCTGTAGGGCTATATGGGCTATAGAGCTATAGGGCTATCGAGCAACAGGGTTATAGGGCTATAGGGGTACAGGGGTATAGGGCTATAGAGCTATAGGGCTATACGGCTGTAGGGCTATAGGGCTATAGGGCTATAGAGCTATAGAGCTATAGAGCTATAGGGCTATAGGGCTATAAAGCTATAGGGCTATAGGGCCGAAGGGCTATCGGGCTATAGGGCTATTGAGCTGTAGGACTATAGGGCTATAGCACTATAGAGCTGTAGGGCTGTAGGGCTATAGGGCACCCCCGGGCACCCGGGCACCCGGGCGTGCGGCGAAAATCGGCGGCAAACCTAACCGAACCATATGAATCCGCTAGGACCCCTACAGAGGCAAGCTCTGATTGGGGAAATATTTCGAAGAATTTCTGAACCAGGAACTTGTCCGAAGGACTCCTTAACAAGGAACATTTTACTAAGGAGTCCCACGCAATTCCTCAGTGATGGTTCCGTAGTAAGAGCTCTTTACTGAAGATCCCTTTAACAAGAAACGTTTACCAAGGAATCCTTAAACTCGTAAATGAAGGTTTTTACCAAGGAACCCCTAGTGAGGAATCTTGACTGAAGACTCTATAGTAAGGAACTTTTTGCTAAGGGATTCTTTATCAGGAACATCTACCCAGGAATCCTGAATAAGGAATCTGGATTCAGGAATCCTTGGTAAGGAAGATGCGTTAAGGAACCCTTAGTGAGGGGCCTTGACTCAGGAATCCTTATCAAATAATATTTCACGAGAGGGCCCGAATAAGGAATATATAAATACACACACACATATATATATATATATATATATATATTAAGAAGTCCTTAATAATCAACCTTTACTAAATAATCCGTATCCGGGAATCTTTACTTGGGCGTCCCTGGCGCTGCCAGCTTCCTCAGGGGGCTGTGCCCTGGGGGGAAGGCCCGGGGAAGAAAAAACACCCCCCTCTGCTCAACGGGCCCTTTTTCTGTTCGGGTCCGCCCGAGCAAAAAAATAGAGACAACAAACAACACCAACAAAACTGAACCAGTGGATTCGGGGGTCGTTTTTTTTTGTGCTGGGACCTTCCCCCTAGTGCAAGACCCTCCCTCCGCCGCAACAGAAGGAAACAATGTCGCCTCTCCTCGCACAAAAAGGAATCGATGTGTAACCCCTGCGCAAAGGGAATCAATGTGTAATCCCCGTTAGGATCCCGAAACCGCAGAGGAGGAACAAGTTGGGGGGGAGGTGGAAGATGCCATGCCTTTCTCCCGTGAAAAAAACGCAGGGGGCCAAATGAGCCTGAAACCTCCTGCTGTCCTCCTCCTTCGCCATGTCATCATCCCATCTTATCTTACTCCCTGTAGAGGAACACAACGGCACAAACCATACACTCCTGGAGGTACGCGCGGATCTGCTGGGACGGCGATTGGAAGCTCCCAGCGGCGCCTCGGGCGGGGACCCTGGCGCGCGGGGTGACGGGGGGTCCGGCGACGAGCGCCGACACACCACAAATCCGCACGGACCTCCAGGTTCGGTGGCAACTCGTGGAAGCTTCCCATACCACCGTGTCAGCTCTTGCGAATCGACGCTAGTCGACGCTACGCGAATCGACACCGAATACGGCACTCAGAGGTTATACCAGGCTCCCATGATTTGCTCATTACCGATTTTTTTACCCGACGGGAAAATCAAGTCCGTCGAACAACAATACCCTGGCCAACATCTTGAGCCAACCCTCGGGGCCAACCCTTCTGCCAATTTCTGGCTCCCCCTCCTGCCAGCCCTGGTCAGGGTCAGCTCTTTCCCGTAACCACGCCCAGACATCCTCCGATCGTCTATGTTCTCTCCCGTGGGTCGGCGGCGAGCGAGGGGGGAGGGGGGAAAATGAGGAGAAGGCCTTCTCAGAAGGCGGCGGGACTTCTCAGAGCACTCGCGCCTTCTGAGGAGACATTCTAGGTCTTCGGGGAAGGCTTATGGGTATCGTTCAACCGATCCCCATCCCCAGCGGCGTGGCCTGGGCCTCACTGGCCGATTTACCGCCCCTAGATGGGGATATAGGTCGTTCCCTTCGGGTTTCGAGGGGTGTATCCCCAACTGGGGTGGTAATTTGGTGGGGGTCTCGAAGGGGATGGTCGGGTCGGGCGAAAGGGGGGATAGCAAAGGGGGGGGGTTCAGAATCAGCTCACGTAGCTGATTCTCCCGGCGCCTCCCGGCGCCGGAGGCGCCCATGTATCGAGGAATGGGCCCCTCGGTGGGGCCGAAATCAGCTGCATGCAGCAGATTTCGTAGCCCCCCCTTTCCAAATCCCCCCCTTTCGTCCGGCCCGAGATGGGGATGGGGATGGGGATCGGTGACACGATACCGAGCTTAGACAACTCTTCCCAGGGGGAGGGGCGTCCGAGCCTGCTGCTGAAGGTCTTCTCCTCCTCACGTCCCCCCCCTTCTCCTCCTCCTCCTCCTCCTCCTCCTCCTCCTCCTCCTCCTCCTCCTTCTCCTTCTCCTCCTCCTCCTCCTCCTCCTCCTCCTCCTTCTGCTCCTCCTCCTCCTCCTTCTCCTCCTCGCCGCCGATCCAGTCGGCAGCCCCCAGAGCTCAAGACTTCTCTTCTCTGGGAGCGTGTCTGCACCCCCAAAGTAAATGTTGTTCAAAAAGGGGTTTCTGGGGAGGTTTTTTTCCAGGAGGGGTCCCCCAGGGGCTTCGCACCCCCTGTTTTTACGAGGTTCCGAGGCCCCAGGGGGGCTCTCTGGAACAAAAAACCTCCCCCCAACCCCCCCTTTGGAACCCTCTGGCCTGAGGCCCAAGTCGGGGGACAAACACGCCCAGATTGCAATGCCGTCGGAGACTTGGGTCTGATGCAAGCCAGTCGGCCATAAGAAATGGGTAGAACAATGAACATCAGCCAGCGTTGACTCCAAATTAGATTAGACGACTCAAATCAAGGAATCATAATAATCATGCATACTTGGAATCCGCAACTCAGCAACAGCAAGCGTGAAAGCGTGCAAGCAAGCAAGCAAGCGTGCAAGCAATCAAGCAAGCGTGCAAGCAAGCAAGCAAGCACGCAATCAAGCAAGCAGGCATAGGCATAGGCGTAGGCATAGGAGTTAGGGGGAGGCATAGGCATAGGCCTAGGCATAGGTTTATTTTTTTGGGGGCAAAAGAACTAGGGGGGGGCAACGGACCAATTAGTAGGGTTTGATCTCGGACCCCTATAGGGCAAGCCTATTTGGAGAAGTAGGAAGGCGTTGGAAGCAGATCGGGCTTCCGCCCGCCCCCTGAAGAGGAGGTGAGAGGGATCACCACTGGATTCTCGAAGTGGGAAGGCGGCTGGAGTAGATGGCGATCTGGGAATCCAGACATACCTGCTTTCAAGGACCGACGCGTGTGTGGTTCTTCGCTCTTCTGCTCTCCTCCCGCCCGAGATCGGGCGCCTCCCCCCCCCCTTGGGCACCGGTGCGGACGGCCCCCGGGGCGGACGGCCGCGAGTGGACTCGGGCACCTCGCGTGCGGAGACTCCGCAGCGCGTGGCGGCTCACAGCCGGGTGCACGACACGGAACAGACTGACCTGGGGGGGACGCCAACCTTGCCATCGCTCGGAAGTCCGTTCCCCGTGCGTGGTTCGGACTCGCGGGCGTGTTTCGGACTCGCGGGCGCGTTTCGGACTCGCGGGCCACCAGCGCGTCAAGCCGCGATGGAGACGAGGGCGCTTACGCGCGAGCTTACGCGGGCAGCTTGCACGTTAATTTCGTTTTGCCTCGTCGCTCAACTGTACACCTACACTGAGGGGCAACGATAGGGGGGGACCAGCCCAGGGGGGAAACATCGAGCTTGAGCCGATGACAGATCGCCGACAGGCCCCCGGTAGTGAAGCCGCACGTTTCTGGGCAAGATGGGCCATCATGCTCCTGTCGGCGATCAATCGGTGGTTTGGGGTCGATGCGTTGCCCCTGAGCCCACCAACCTCTCCCCCTGACGTTGCCCCTGACAATTTTACACCCTCACCGATTCTGGCCAGGCCCATCCTGGGCCCAGGGCGCAGAATATTGAGCATCAGCTTGAAACTCTTGAATCGGCACCAGTGAAGGGGCCCTGGGACACACAAATAAATACACACAAATAAAAAGATTCCCCATATTTTTGTATATTTTCGGGGTTTGTGTCTTCCCCACCACTTGCCATATTTTCCTATATTTTCCAGGAGATCGAAGATTAATTGTGTCTGTGTGTTTCTTTCCCTCCTGAACCAGGGGCGGCGCCAGAGGCGCCGCCGAGGAGGTCCAGCGCCGATCCCAGAGATCCAGGCGGACCTCGGGAGGCCCATCTGTTGTGCAGTGCTGCCACGGGACTAGGACTAGATCGGGATCCCGGGGCTCCAACGAAAGCCTGCTTTCGAAGAGCGGTCTGCGAGGATGAGCAGCGTGAGCCCGCTCGCTCGCTCTCGCCCGAGCCGTCCTTGGTACGAATACTTGCCGGACGCTGGCAGTCTCTACCCAGGAGGTGCGCGCAAGTCAGACACGAGCACGCGTGCGTCGCCTTCCCTCTCCTCTCCTGTCCTCTCCTCGCCTCTCCTCGTCGTCGTCGTCGTCCTCCTCCTCCTCCTCCTGTTCCCCTCCCCTCATCCCCCTACCCCTCTTCTTGTCAACCTCTCCTCCTCTCCGCTCCTCTCACCCCTCCTCCGTCTCCCACCCTTCCTCTTCGCCTCCCGACCCACCTCCTCCTGCCCCCCCTGTCGACCTCGTCTCCTCACCCTCCTCTCACCCACCACTTCCCTTCTGACCCTTCTCCTCCAAGACGATTGGCTCAAGACCATTCTCCTCCAAGAACCTTCTCCTCCTTCTCCTCCTGACCCTCCTCCTAGAAGACCCACCATTTCCCTGCTGACCCTTCTCATTATGATGCCAAGATACGATTGGCTCAAGAAACATTCCAATCATTCCAGAGCATCAAACGGCCCTCGTTTGTTGAGCCCGCACGGCCCGGTGGGAGATCCCAGAAACCATGGAAATCTATGAACGTGTCATTATCATGACCTCTTGTTCTTATGATCCTCCTCCTCCTCCACCTCCTCCCCTGGGTATCGCTTACAATCAATCGGACCTGGGCCAGAAACACATCCTTCAAGAACATGAGAAACTCCGCCGGCCAGAACACACAGATCATCCAAGGGTATCCTCCAGAGGATGCACAGGAATATCCAACAAACACGAACACATTAGGGTACCCTTCTCGACCTCGATCTGACACTGCGATCCGACTGTAACCAATCCCTAACCCCACTGGCGTGGCCTGGGCCCCAGTGGCCGATTAACCCCCCTAGATGGGGATGTAGGTTGTCTCCTCCTTTTTTCGAGGGGTACCTCCCCAACTGGATGGTGGGGCTCGGGATGGGGATGGGGATGGGGGATCGGTGAAACGGTACTGATCCTGCTCCCCCTGCGACAGGGGCCTGAACCCAGGGGCGCTTGCCCAGCGTGATGATGGCGACGCTGCCCGCAGCTCTCGCCCTGCGCAAACACTCGTGCACCACCCTGGCGTGGGCGGTCAGCGCCTCGACCTCCTCTCTTGCGCGCCAGCCCGGCCGGCGTCGTCGTCGGTCGTCTGAGTGGCGACATCCGAGCCCTCCTGGCCCCATTTGCCTCCAATGTGCCTCGAGGCTCCAGGCGGCCCCACAGATCGGCCAAGAGGGGACCCAGGAGTGGCTCCAAGAAGTGGCCCCACGCGCCTGAATCCATGCTTGCTTGGCGGCGACATCCAAACCCTAGCCCCACCAACCATCGATTTTCCTGAATCGATGGGAGGCGGGGGTAGGCCTCGGGTTTTTCCACGTGCTCGACGAGATCCGAACCCTATCCCCACCGACCATCAAGTTGTCTGAACCGTTGATGGGCGAGGGCAAAGTTCGGATTTCGCCGCCGATCGTCGTCATCGTCATCATCGTCGTCGTCGTCGTCGTCGTCGGAATCGTCGTCTGCGTCGTCGCTGCCAACCGCGTCGGCGACGACGACGGCGTCGTCCGCGATGAGACGATAGCAGGGTGGCGGCAAAACCGAGAACGTTGACACCGACCATACGACAACCAAGCAGGAGAAACGGGAAGTCAAAACACCCAGCTTTTTTAGCCGCAGACTCCGCAGACCACCCTCCTGGTACTGGACCACCCCAGACCCCGCTGGGCTGAATTCGATACCCTGGGAGCGGGGGGAGGAGGGGGATCTCGGAAAAGTGTGCTACCCCCAAGCCCACGGGCTCAACGGCACGTTACATATGTGTATATACACATCTAGAATTGTACAACCATCTATGTATACGTGCAATCGGACCTAAAACAAACATGCATACCATCCTTCACGAACATGTCAACCTGCGCCGGCCAAACTGAAACATATTCGATGGCATTCCCTTCCAGGACGCACAGGAACATCCAACAAACACGAATCACATCAGGGTGCCCTCCTCGAGCCGACCTCGGTCATATACCTCGGTACGACTGCACACGGTCCTGGAGCCCAGGCGCCGAACGCGGCGAATGAGCTCCGCCTCTCCATTTGTCGGAAAGCGTCATTCGTCTGCGGCCCTCCTCCTCCTCCCCACTGGGCCCCTCCGCGGGGGGTGCGCTCGGACCCATCATGTTCCCTCCGAGGGGGATCCAGCCGCGTTGGCGTTGGACGCGGATGAATGGGGGGGGGCGATGCAATAGGGGGCAGCGCTAGCGGCAGAAAGAAGGCGCCCCTGGGGCTCCTAGAGGGGTCTTTGAAGGCATGGAAGAGGCACCTTTCTCCCCTCTCCATCGCCCACCCATGGATTCGCGCTCAATGGCGAGAAGCCTCCCCAGAGGCCAAAGAGGGGCTCCACAAAAAAAACACAAGAACATTGTGCCCCTTTCATCCTCCACGCCTTCTTCCCCTCCCGTCCATCCTCCTGGCCATTCTCAGAACCTAGGGCGAGAGTGATGCCATGCGAAGATTGGCTCAACCTGCGCTCCAACCTTTCCGGAGCATCTTGCGGCGAAGCCTGTGCGAAACGTCAGAACACAGTGGGATTCCCAGAAGCCTTGGACATCGTGAAACAGCTCGTTCTCATGAACTTTTGCTTCTCTGAGAATCGGCGCCGTTTTGGAGTGGCCGTTTTTTGCTGGACGTTTTGCGAAGCACCGCGTGCGTTGACTTTTTCTTTGTAAGGGGGGGCCGGTCGCGGCGGCGGAAAGGCCTCCCGGGGGCCCAGCGGACACAACGAGACGTTCAGCGCTTGGGTCGTCGAGGAGCTCCGTCGGGAAACATAGCAGCAAGGGCAGAGCAACGCGGGGAAACACGCGCGATATCTTGCGGATACAGGGACGAGTAAAAAGAACAATGGCACTCGCGGCCGTCTGAGCGAGGCTCCGAATCATGGCCCCCCAATGCGAGGCGCAGCCCTGGACTCGTGCAGGGGAGACGTGACAATCCGAGTGAGGGAGACGCGGGCACCTATAGCTAGGCGGATATCCCTGTAAGCCCATCGGTGCCGTGTGGGGAGCAGGAAGAGGGGAGGCGAGGAGGTTCTTGGTTACCGCGACGATGATCGAAGCAAGTGCCGCCTGTCCACGCTCGTGCTGAGAGAGCAAAGAAGAGCACATGCGCGGACACAATGGGCGAACAGTGCCTGCACACCAGGAACAACTAGAAAGGCGAGGGAATGTGGAACACTGTAGTAGTTCGCAAAGACATCGGGATTAAGGTATGAATGCAGCGGCGATGTGTCGCCTCCTCCTCCTCCTCGACCTTGGAACCTCGTCCTTCTGACGGGTCCTTTTTTCTCCCTTCTTTCTCTCTCAAAAGTGGGGCCAAAGTGCGCGGATCGCCTATGTACTGGCACCATCCGCGTGGAGAAAATCCGGCTCCGCACAGATTCGCATCGCAGATGCACCGGTGATGCGGCGCGATTGCGATTCACTGGCGCCATCTGGCAACTCTTCGGGTTGCGCACCGGGAGCCCCCCCAGGTAATCACGGCTAGCCTCAACAGGCCCCCCGAATAGCCCAACGCGGTCTCAACGCCCCAACTCTGGGGTGAGGAGCGTGGTATGGGCGCCGCTGGAGGCGGTGCCAAGGTGTTGCGACTTTTTTGTTTTGCGACGCGCGCGCCATGCGAGCGGTCAAGCGCCTCGGCGGCGCCGTGCCCAGCCCAGGCGCGTGCACCTAAATACGGGTGGAGGGGGGGGAACCGCCACACACGACCCGCACAGGGGAGTGCAGGACTGCGCGTGGGCTAGTCGGGGGCCTGTTGAGGCCAGCGGGAGCCATTCAGGAGGCCCGCCGACGCCAGCCAAAACTGCCAGGGGGGGCTGTCCGCGCGCAACACGAATCCTCGCCATCCAAATTCTCAGAATCCTCGAGGCGGGGTTTCTGTCAACCCCCCTCGAGGGGGAGGACGAGGAGGAGGAGGAGGAGGAGGAGGAGGCGGACGAGGAAGAGAAGGAGGAGGAGGAGGAGAAGGAGGAGGAGGAAGAGGAGGAGGGGAAACTCGCTCGCTCTCGCCCACTCAGTTCTCCTTAGCCTGACTAAAACTTGCAATATTCGTGGGCCTGGGGGGGAATATCGACTTGTCGCGATACGCCCTCTACTGTGCAACTCCGTTGAAAGAACACGGTGCGACCTACAAGAGGCCGGCAGATAGCCAATCCGCTAGGTCGCTGCACGGGAGGGTGGCCGTTGGCCAACTCCGGGCCGATGCCAATTCGAACCAGGGCGAACACTTGCGATCGATTTCCAAGCCATCAAGACCCGCTGGATGTTGGAAGCTCAAACAATACCGCTTAGCAGGCATCAGTTTCCGAGCGGCGCTTTGCTCATCGTGATCCTACGCCTCACCTGCTCCCCCATGCTCTGGTACCAGTATATACCTGCCCGAGGAACTTGAACAAGAAACGGTTCTTCTGAGGCTGGCCTGGCTTGTCGTACGTGGGAAAGACTGCTGCCCCTTTGACCCACAGCGCTGCTTGAGCTGGCCCTGAGTGTTTGTTCATGTAGATTCACAACTCGATTCCAAACTTCATCTTGGACCTGCGCTCCGAAGTGTCCTTGGACGGCCAATCCTTCAAGACGAGCAGACTGCTGCAAGCCGCTTGCGATGCTGGTTGGCGAGCCAAGGTCATCCCGAGGGTTCTATTTCCTCTGGCGCGCGAGTTCCTAGCACGACCTGTTGCAATCTGTGTGTGACGATCTGGTGCTTGCGGTCCACGGTGGCTGTCGACATCGACTCGTGCTCCAGTAGCTGTATCCGACCTTCGAGGAGGCGGAGGCGGAGGGGCTGTTTCCCTCCGAGCGCCACGCTGGCCGCTCCGCGCTTCGCCCTCTGGCCGCCGCCCGAAGGGCCGTGGCACGGGCGTGGTGGCGCGGGCGTGTCGAGGATGATGCGGAGGGCGGAGGAGGGCGGAGGAGGGCGGAGGAGGGCGGAGGAGGGCGGAGGAGGGCGGAGGAGGAGGAGGAGGAGGAGGAGGAGGAGGAGGAGGAGGAGGAGGAGGAAGGAGGGAGGAGGGAGGCTGAGGAATTGTTTCCCTCCGAGCGCCACGCTGGCCCGAGGAGCTTCGTCCTCCAGCCGCCGCCAGAAGGGCCGCGGGATGGGCGTGGTGGCGCGGGCGCGTCGAGGAGGGAGGAGGGCGGAGGGCGGGGAGGGGTGCGGGAGGAGGAGGGATGAGGGAGGAAGCCACTCAGGCGTTCCCCGAGTCCACTTGGGCAAGATGGCCCAACACCGAATCTGAAGATCGAACCGGCAATCGAAATGCGTTGGATCGGCAAGAATCGGCACGCAGATTGGAAGGCATCGGAATCGACGTCCGCCAACCCAAGCCTAAGGCGTAAACGAGAACATCCAAACCGAAGTCGGAATACAGTCGGAAAATGCAGTAAGGAATGGCGGTAAGTTCGCAAGGGCGGTGGACGCCGAAACTGTCCCCTGTTGGGCGGCGGGCTGCCAACGCCCTGAAGATCTGGTCAATGGCAACCGCGAAGGACGGGCCACAGAAGCGAGGACGCAAAAGTACCCCAACCCAAGGACATCCGTGCGCCCTCACTGGACATTGATGACTGCACAGAGTCGAGACGGATCCTGCCTGGGTGGCCCTGATCACCCTCTCCCGGGCGCGGTCCTCGTCCTGGGGCTGCCCCTCCCAGCCCCTGTCGGAGGCCACCGCGGTGGTGGGAAGCAGCGTGTCGTCCTGGCGGGGCGTCGTTGTCGTCGTCGTGATGGTCGTCGTCGTCGGGGCAGTTAAGACAAAAGATAAAATCGGGGAATGGGAAACATCGAGAATCTCTGAGATCCGGCGGTTCTGGAGGATGTATCGGGCGTTGCGGCCTTTTCAGAGCGTTCAGGAACGCTGTGGAGCTGACTCATCCTCGTCCTAACCCCGTCCTAGTCGTGGTGTGGTCGTCGTCGCTGTCGTCGTCCCTCCGGGCGAGGACCTCCCGGAGGGATGGGAAGAAGGACGAGTTCGATGCTTGGATGCTTTCAGTCCATGCTCGGGGGTCCGAAGGCATCATGGCACCTCCAAAGCTGATCCGAGGATTCGCTGGCGCTTTGCATGGGTCTTTCTCGTGATCCTCGAGCGTCGCTGATGTTGAGCGCTCGGAGTTTTTTGTTATTATTAATATTATTATTATTCGTATTAGTATTATTCCCAACCAACCTGTGTTGTTGGGTCCTCGTTTTGAAGAGACGGTCCCCGCGTTCCTCCTTCCTCCTTCCTCCTTCCTCCTCCTCTCCTTCCTCCTCCCTCCTCCCCCTCCCTTCTGGCACACCCCTCACACGTTTCGTGGCCCCATAGGGAGCTCCACCGAAGGCCCCAGTGGCTGCGCCCGCATGCGGTTCCACCCCCCAATTCTGGCACACCCCTCACACGTTTCGTGGCCCCATAGGGAGCTCCACCGAAGGCCCCAGTGGCTGCGCCCGCATGCGGTTCCACCCCCCATTCTGGCACACCCCTCACACGTTTCGTGGCCCCATAGGGAGCTCCACCGAAGGCCCCAGTGGCTGCGCCCGCATGCGGTTCCACCCCCCATTCTGGCACACCCCTCACACGTTTCGTGGCCCCATAGGGAGCTCCACCGAAGGCCCCAGTGGCTGCGCCCGCATGCGGTTCCACCCCCCATTCTGGCACACCCCTCACACGTTTCGTGGCCCCATAGGGAGCTCCACCGAAGGCCCCAGTGGCTGCGCCCGCATGCGGTTCCACCCCCCATTCTGGCACACCCCTCACACGTTTCGTGGCCCCATAGGGAGCTCCACCGAAGGCCCCAGTGGCTGCGCCCGCATGCGGTTCCACCCCCCATTCTGGCACACCCCTCACACGTTTCGTGGCCCCATAGGGAGCTCCACCGAAGGCCCCAGTGGCTGCGCCCGCATGCGGTTCCACCCCCCATTCTGGCACACCCCTCACACGTTTCGTGGCCCCATAGGGAGCTCCACCGAAGGCCCCAGTGGCTGCGCCCGCATGCGGTTCCACCCCCCATTCTGGCACACCCCTCACACGTTTCGTGGCCCCATAGGGAGCTCCACCGAAGGCCCCAGTGGCTGCGCCCGCATGCGGTTCCACCCCCCATTCTGGCACACCCCTCACACGTTTCGTGGCCCCATAGGGAGCTCCACCGAAGGCCCCAGTGGCTGCGCCCGCATGCGGTTCCACCCCCCATTCTGGCACACCCCTCACACGTTTCGTGGCCCCATAGGGAGCTCCACCGAAGGCCCCAGTGGCTGCGCCCGCATGCGGTTCCACCCCCCATTCTGGCACACCCCTCACACGTTTCGTGGCCCCATAGGGAGCTCCACCGAAGGCCCCAGTGGCTGCGCCCGCATGCGGTTCCACCCCCCATTCTGGCACACCCCTCACACGTTTCGTGGCCCCATAGGGAGCTCCACCGAAGGCCCCAGTGGCTGCGCCCGCATGCGGTTCCACCCCCCATTCTGGCACACCCCTCACACGTTTCGTGGCCCCATAGGGAGCTCCACCGAAGGCCCCAGTGGCTGCGCCCGCATGCGGTTCCACCCCCCATTCTGGCACACCCCTCACACGTTTCGTGGCCCCATAGGGAGCTCCACCGAAGGCCCCAGTGGCTGCGCCCGCATGCGGTTCCACCCCCCATTCTGGCACACCCCTCACACGTTTCGTGGCCCCATAGGGAGCTCCACCGAAGGCCCCAGTGGCTGCGCCCGCATGCGGTTCCACCCCCCATTCTGGCACACCCCTCACACGTTTCGTGGCCCCATAGGGAGCTCCACCGAAGGCCCCAGTGGCTGCGCCCGCATGCGGTTCCACCCCCCATTCTGGCACACCCCTCACACGCTTCGTGGCTCCATAGGGAGCTCCACCGATCGCCCCAGTGGCTGCGCTCGCATGCGGTTCCATCCCCCCATTTCGGCACACCCCTCACTCGTTTCGTGGCCCGGGGGCGCCACCGAAGAAGATATCCACAATTGCGGTATTCACAACTACGTATGGTTGGGTCTTTCGTCAGGCTAAGTATTATTATTATGTTTTTTTTTTATCTGTTTGGGCCTCCAGGGGGGGGGACAAAGGAAGGAAACGGGGAGCTTGATGATAAGTGTAGCCAACGGAAGACGATGACGAGCCGATCTGATTTGCAACGGCTGCACCACGAGTAAGGGAAGGCGTATGGAATCCTCCGAAATCTCACCTGGCGACTGTTCGTCACTCCCACGAGGTCCATGAGGCCACGCCGTCGAGCGAATGAGCTGTAGCCCAGGCTCGCACATGAGCTGTGCCAGCTCGTGTCGTGTCGACGTGGGCTGTGGTCTCTGACGCCGCGTGGGCAAGCCAAAGTTGCACGATCGCAGCTTGCCGACAAAGAGCAAGTTCTTCGATGTCGGCCGCTTCTAGGCCACTGGCGGCGTACAGCCTCGCACGCCCGTGGTGGCGTCGCCGCTGGGCACTTGGAGACTCGGCGAACACCTCCCGCACTTCGAGCCCGCTCCCCCTCCTCCTCGTCCTCCTCCTCCTCCGCCTCCTCCTCCGCCTCCTCCTTATCCGCCTCCGCCTCCGCCTCCGCCTCCTCCTCCTCCTCCTCCTCCTTCGCATGCGAGTCCGACAAGCGATTCGCAGCCATCGAGCTCAGCCTTGGCGACCGCCGACCTTTCGCCTATGCGGAACAGCAATCCCCGAACAATGGCTGCCACTCCAGGGTTCTAGCACGTGTTCCTGAAAAGGGGGTTGGAGTGGTACCCCGAGGTTTCGGCTGGTGCCTGGTGGGTGTCCAATTGTAGGGAGCACGCCAACGGACGTACGCGCCCAGCTAGGTGCATGAACGCGGCCCCCTGACCCGCGAGACCTGCCGCGCGATGCGAACATTCGCGCAATGCGAACTCTCGAAACCAGCGTGGATTCATGTACATGTACGTCCTTCTTTCGCTCCTGAAATTGGTGCACGGTCGTGGGCGCCATGGGCGCCACCCGCTGCGGTGGGCAGGTGCCTCGGATTTTCGGTTGGTGCCCTGTCGTGGGCGCCCGTGGGCGCCGCGTGGGCGGCACGCAACTTGCACCAAGTGGGCCCCCCATCCAGAAAAACAAAAGACCCACCCCTCTTCCCGAGCCCAGACTTGTCGTCACCCCTCCGTATGTTCTTTGTCCTTCGGCACGGTCTCCCATCTGTCAACACCCAAATCATAACAATCCAGCCGGGCGGGCAGTGGCCTCCTCATCCGTCCACTATTACAATGCTCGCGCACCTGTCTATCTCAAAATATTTGTGCCCATCAAGAATTGACCCATGGCAACAACACCCGCACGCGCGCACACGTCGAACTCATACCACCCACATACCAGCCGTGCACGCGCGTCAACATAATATCATAATAACACCGTTGGGTGCCCCTTCCAAAACAAACATATTGCTACGCGCGCACACGTGCTGAATTCAGGGGGCACCACATGACTTTAACAATCTCGTCATACGCACGATCTTTCATCTGACCACTCAGTGCATCCGCGTTGATCTGGGATGCGTCCACTGGGTGATCCCGTATCACATACCACCAATCGAAAATTTTCCCGAACATCAACTAGTCGAGGCATGCCAATACAGACCTACTCGAAGACGTATAACAAAAGTTGCTAATATAATTGCTGCCATCTGACTTGAATGTCTGCGCGCGCATTTCTACACCAGCCCCATCAGCGACATCGCATCATCGCCGCTATCGCCGTCGCCAATCGCCGCCAGCATCGGCAACGGTTGCTTCTATCTCAAGCACATGGACCGCATCATCGTCATGATCGACATCGGCGCCACCATTGGCGTTGTCGTCGCCATCGTAATCAGCGCCACCACCATCGCCATGATCATCATTGTTGCCGCCGCTGTCGACGTCACCGCCCGAGTCACCGACCTGCGCTGAACTGCCCGCGCGCCAGCGCGGCCTTCGAGACGCGCGGGGAAGCTCCCATCTGCAAGCGTCATCGCAGCCCAGCCGCATCAAATGCGCCAAGGCCGCTGGTCGCTCTGCGCGCGACCGATCGCGCGCCAACGTGGCCGTGCCAATCAATAGTCGTGGCAGAATTGGTTGGGCGAGCAAGTTGCGGGTGTGAGTGTGGGATGTTTACGAACGCATCGGGATTCCCGTCTCACCAGGGACAAACGCTAGTGTGCCACATCGTTTACACAAGGATCGCTTGCACCGCGTATCTTGCACCACGTAAAGTGCACCACGCAGGCTGCACAGCCACAGTGCGGCAACTTACCGCGTGGGGCCCGCGCTGGCAAACACCTCCCCCTGGGCGGGGGGCGATCCTGGCAATTCGAAGGGCGGACGCCCGAGTGCCAAACACTGAGGATATCACCAAGATGTCCTTGCAGACATTGAGGATGCCACCAAGACAGCCCAAAATGCTTCCGAGACGCTAGGTCACCCGCCCCCAAAAACGAACACGGGCTCTCACGGGAGGCTCCCAGACCGCCACCATCCTAAGCAAGCAGTGTGTTCTGCAATGCCTCTCGCTTTTCGACCATTTCCGCCCAAGATGGCCTCCAGATTCGTGAAGACTGTCACACCAATGCCCAAATCCTACCAGCCCTGTGGGCGACTGGGTCTAAGGATGATTTTCTTTTTGCTCACACAACCCCTCTTCAGCTCGGGGAGGGGAACCCTCCCCCACCTCTCCTGTTTTCCCGGGAGGGGGAACGATGTGTCAGAGAGTACTTTTTTCGGCCAGTGGGAGAGCCAATTTCTGACACCCGTCACGAGGATCGCGGCCGCCGAGGGTGGGCAGACATCGAGGACCCCACCAACTACTGACCGACCGCCTTCAAGATGGCACCAGAGGGCCCTCCAGGGCTCCCACGAGGCCCCCAACAAAGCTCCGAGAGCGCCCCAAGAAGCCCCAAGAGGCCCCCAAGAGGCCCCCGGACGGCCTCAGAGAGCCCAAGATGACCTCCAACATGGCTCAAGAAGGCTTATGCTGGCCCAAGATGGCCCCCAAAATGCTCAATGAGGCCCCAAGACCGCCCCGAAACGGCTCAAGATGGCCACGGCTCGAGACGGGCCCGGAGATGGCTCCAGCACGCCGTCCAGGCCGGCTTCCCTCGCTGTTTGACGATGCGTGTCTCTTCCCCTCTCTCTCCCCGCCAGCTCTCATGGGCATCATTCCTGGACAATCTGGTGGGTATATAAGGGCTCCCAATTTCGCGCTTCGCGCTGCGCGAAGCGCGAAGTGCGAATAACTTCGCGCTCTCGCGCCGCCTCCCAGGGGAGAAGAGGAGGACGAGGAATCGGAGCCGAACCGCGAAGCGCGAAGCGCGAATAACTTCGCGCCCTCGAGGGCGCCCTTGGTATACTTCTTGGTGCGCGGGCTCGCGAAACCAAGTCGAACGCCGAGCACACCAGGGCGGGCCGCGCCGTGGCGAAGACACAGACAGCGAAGTGAACAACGCCCGCCACACAGCGGAAGGGAGCCAGGCGCAGCCAGACTGGCGCGGGAGGCATCACGCAGGCACCGAGAGCACGTCCACGAAGATGCCGATGGGGACTTCTTTTTGTCGCGGCCGCAAGCGGAAGCGCAGGCGGCGTGGAAGAGGTCGGGCGGGCTACGCGCGAGCCTGATTGCCTAGCGCACGGGGACCGACGGCCGAACCTAAGCTGCCCAGGGGCCAAAGATGATCCACGCGGGCCCAGAAAAAGCCAGCGGGCAGCGCAAACGCGCCCAAAGAGGGCCTGTCCTTGTCCCTCTCCTCCTCTTGCTCCTCCTCCTCATCCTCCCCCTCCTCCTCAACTTCCTCATTCTTCCCCGAGGGAGGAGGAAGAGGGATGGGGCTGACAATCCCAATCGAAGAAGGTGACGACGTTGGTAGCGGCGTCCCCCTGGCGCGGGCATCCCATGTTCCTCCTCCTCTTCCTCTTCCGCACGTCCACCACATCACATGCCCTGAGCAGACGCGACATAGGGAAGGGAGGGAGGAAGCTCGGGAGGCGGAGCAAGGGGTGAGAGGAGGGATAGCACGGGGCCCGATCATGCAGACCCGTTGGGCTGAGAGCTGACGCATCCAGCTTGGAGGAGGAAGTTGTCACCTTCTAGCACATTTCTTCTTTCTCTGCGTTCCCCCTCTCCCCCCTCCTTCTCATCATCACACCTCTTCTTCCTCCTCCTCCTCATCCTCCTCCCAATGCTGAATATCCCTTGAAGAAAGAAAGCCCCGAAGACCCCACCACAGCCCCCATTCCATATCCTCTTCCAGGAGCCTGCGACCCCCCCACTTACCTATCCATCTCCGCCTTTTCCCCCCTCCTCCACATGCACCTACTCCCCTCCTACTCTTCTGGGTGCCACTGCTTGCAACACTACGCCATCCCATGCCCCCCCCACTCCCCGACCCCGCACTCGAACGCCCGACAGGCCCCGAAAACATATCTAGTATTCCTCCTCCTCCAACTCCTCTCCTCACTCGAGCCGACGTCGCGAAACCAACCACGACGTCGGAGATCTGGGTAGCCCCACTGCTGCCCAGGATACCCTAGTGGCGGCCCCCAATATGATAATGACACGTGGGAGGGGAGGAAGCGGAGGAGAGCGGGTTTAGCTGAGAGGCAGCTTGAATGGAGGGGTGGATTCCTTAGACCCACAAGAGCTCCCCATCCCCATGCAAAACAGGCAAACCCATCGGTGATCCTGCCTTCCTTCCATCTGTATTTCCTTCCTTTTCCCTCCTCCACCTCCTCCTCCTTCTCCTCCTACGACTCGAACCCGCTCAATGCCGGGACCCCACCCAACATTAATGGTTGCCAGATGTTCATCATGCTTGACGGTCTGACAGACCGAAACGATGAATGAAGGCCGCTAGGGGCCGAAAACTGTGAAGATTAGATTCGAACCTCTTCCTCCTCCTCCTCCTCCTCCTCCTCATCATCATCCTTGTCCTCTGTCCTCCTCTTCCCATCCACACCCATAAAAGTAATGCCACTCCTCCTGCCCCCGATCCCCAGACCCTCCCAACCAACGAAAACGGCTAGAGCCTCCAAGCATTGCCCAGACCGCCCCAGAAATTCCCAAGAGACTGAAGCTGCACGGCTGCAGACGACGGCTGAAGACGAAAGCTGCACTGCCCGTGCAGCCCGCTGCAGGAGGGCGAGGAGGAAGGGGAGGCGAGAACGCAACAGAACGTATTCTTTTTTCCCGGGTTTCGACATGTGGCCGAGGGGTGGGTGAGGGGGGGGGCCTGGGTCTGGGCCCGTGCTTAGTCGATCTGTGTTTTGAGGTCGCGCAAGCAAACTGGGTGGGAGGGGTCCTGACCAGTCGCCAAGAGCAACCCACATCTGGTCGATGTAAGGGGGGGAACCCCGGCGCCCGCGCCGCTCCGCGAAACAATGAATTAAAACAACGGCTAGAACTCGGCCGCTGATGTTTGCCGAGCGTCGAGATAGGAAGGGGATGTGGATGCGGCACGGCCTGTGTGCTGTCCTCCTCGGAGAAGAGCATTGCCTCCCTCCTCGACGACCGCTGCGTGACCGCGTCAGCCCACGGCACGAAGTCCAGGGAGGCCATCGGGCCCTGCCCACCCCCCTTCGGCGTCCTCCTCCTCCTCCTCCTCCTCCTGCTCTCTCGCCTCCACCTCGACCTCCTCCTCCTCCTCCTCCTCCTCCTCCTCCTCCTCCTCCTCCTCCTCCTCCCCCCCCTCCACCTCTCCCTCCTCCTCTTCCTACTTTTCCTCGTCGTCGTCGTCCTCCTCCTCCTCCTCATCATCATGCTTCCCCTCCTCCATTCCTGCTTCTAGTACGCTTCTCCCTGTCGCACCCCGAAACCAGTTTTTAGGGCAGGCCGGGTGTTTCGCCTGAGACTTTCTTGCCATTTCTGACTCTGAAGCTTAAACTATGGCAACAGTTCCACACATGGAGGGCGGTTTGTTTTCAACATGTGGCTCTCGCCTTAGCGCCGCGAACATTCGCTTCAAGCATTTGCAAGAGCTTCACGGATTGAGGGCGGGTGGTTTTCAACATGACGCTCTCGCCTTAGCGCCGCGCACATTCGCTCTGAAGTTTTGCAGGAGCTTCACGGATTGAGGGCGGGTGGTTTTCTAAATGTGGCTCTCGCCTTAGCGCCGCGCACCTTCGTTTTAAAAATTTGCACGCGTTTCACATTTTGAGGGCGGCTCCTTTTCAGAATGTGGCTCTCGCCCTAGCGCCGCGCACGTTCGTTTTAATAAGTTGCAGGATTTTCGCGGATTCCCATGATCAGCGTACCAACATTGGTGCCTGGGAAGGAATCAGGATTATAGGGTGCAAAAATCATGTAGCTTTGCGGTATTGATATCCGAGAGAACGCGTTTCACGGGCGCTTGCCTTGGGAACATTCGGCGGCGCGTTTCGAAACCGGGGGTGGGCCCCCCCTCCTCAACACTCGGCGCCGTCGATCAAAACCACAGGGACTCCCTTCCCCCCCAAACCTCCCCCCTCCCGAACCCTCCCCCTTCCTCCCAAGGAGGGGGGGCGTTTTGACCCCCCCCCTCCCCCTCGGCGCCGGCGCCGGCGGCTGCCAGCAACGCCGACGGCGGGGACGCAGCGACGATGACCAGAAGCAGCACAAGGGGGGGGGGTTCAAACCCCCTCCCCCCCCTGGCGCCCACCGGGGGGGGGGGATTCAACCACCCCCCTTCCCCCTGGCGCTGGCGCCGGCGCTGGCGGCCGCCAGCAGCGCCGGCGCTGGCGCCGGCGACGTCGGGGACGCAGCGACGATAACCACCACTACCACCACCACCACCGCCTCAACCCACCACCACCACCACCAACCCGCCACACAACCACCACCACCACAGCCACCATCACCACCACGACCACCACAACTCACCATCACCACCACCACCACCGCCACCACCACCACCACCAGCACCACCTCCACAATCTACCACGCCACCACCACAACCCACCACCACCACCACCACCACCACCACCACCACAAACCACCACCACACCACCATCAAACCACCACCACTACAACCCACCACCACCATCACAAACCACCACCACACCACCACAACCACCACACCACCACCACCACCCACCACCACAACCACCACTACCACCACCACCACCACAAACCTCCACACCACCACCACAACCACCACCACCGCCACCACCACCACCGCCACCACCACCACCACAACCCACCGCCACCACCACCGTCGTCCTCGTCGACGCTCCCCGCCGCCGCCCTTCGAGGAGAGGGAAAAAAAAGTAGGGGGCGGGGGGGGTCCGATTCCCCCCCCCCCCTCCAAGCGACCACGGAACGCGCTCTTCCCGAAATTCCTTAAATGGCGTCGTGGCACGATTTGGGATCGTCAGACGCAGCAGCCGGGTTGATCCGTGGCGATGAAATCCTGAGAACAATTGTTTGGCATGCTTCAGAGTCTTCAAACGGTTGTCGTCCAACGAGGCGCTTCCCTCAATGGACATGAAACATTGTAGGTGCCGATGAAGAGGGAGCTTGGAGGGAGGTTTAATTCCAACATCGTTCTCCTCCACGTCCTCCTCCCGCCCCCTCCCCCCCATCTTCCGCCTCCTTCCTCGTCCTCCTCTTCCCCCTTCTCCTCGTCCTCCTCCTTCTCTTCCTCCTCCTTATCCTCCTCCTTTTACGGTCGACAACTTGGGGAACTAGCCAGGACCCTTCCTCTGTGTGCTGCCCACTTCCCTGATCGAGGCAATCCCACTGGGCAGCGTTTCTGGATGGGCTGGTGAGGTTACTTTCTTTGGTCAGCGGCCCCGAGACGAAGGTCAGGGAGCGAAGGCGACGTCCGGGCCACGGGCGAAGCTAATTTGCAAGACAATTCGCCGCCAGCCAGAGTAGGCGGACAGACTTCTCGCACCTGCACGTGCACTGAACAAAATTACCAGAATTCGAGAGGCAAGCTCCCGGAGGCGCGGAGGCCCTTACCACAGTGGGAAGGCCGCCGTGCCCGGTGAAAATGAAAATGCCCCGAAGTGAGTCGCCGATGTGGCGCCAGACTTCCGCGGCCGACCTGCACAAGCCGAGCGGCTGAGCGGTCGAGAACAGAAAACAGCGCGCGACAGCTGGTAGGGGCCGAAGGCTGCACAAGCGTTGTAGGCTGAACTCAGCGGCTGAACCACTCAGCGCCCAGTCCTCAGTGATCCGCATCACAGTGTCGGGGGGGGAGCCGAGCGACCGTGACCCAAAGCGCGACTGCACGGTGCCGCCACATGAAGAGAGGGACTCCGCTGGCGTGGTGAGCATCGCCGACGGATGAAGAGAAAAGGTGGGGGGCGGCACGTGTGGTGGTGGTGTCGACTGCGCTGCCTGCCCGCAAGGTGCCTGGGGGAGCTCGCTGCCGTGGGCACTGAGGCGGCCAGCCACACACAGGCCGACGCATTGCGCTTCCCCTGGGCCCTAGCGCCAACACGCACCACGAGCCCCTCCTGGGCCGTGATAGCCGTCGCTGAGGGTGCTGAGCAGGACCACGAGCAGCACGGACCACGGCCGGAACAGGGAGGGGGGCCAGCAGCACCGACGCAAGTGCAGCGTCAGGCGGGCCCCGGGGCCACGGGCAGGGGACACCCACCGGGCCCAGGAGAGGAGAGGCGAGGGGACGCAACGCCTCACCCCTCGGCCAGGCTCCCTGCCGCCGTGGGCCAGGGGCCGTGGTCCTCCTCTTGGCTCGTCCTGAGGGTCGCAGCTGATCGCCGCTAGAACTTGCATTGAACAACTGGGGGGTCGCAGCTGATCGCCGCTAGGATCTCTTTTACACGTCGTGGGGGTCGCAGCTGATCGCCGCTGTGGTCTCTATTGAAGGTGTGCGAACGAGTGAAGGCCCACCGGGGCCGCAGCCAACGCAGAGGATGTGAGCCTGCAGAGAGATGCGTCCCTGAAGGTGGGTCCTCGGGGGTCGCAGCTGATCGCCGCTGGAGCCGATGTTGCCAAAACTGTGGCCTGAAACACAGGCCGATACGCTGGCGCACAGGGGGGATGCTTCCGCTGTCGTCCCCCCGTCACCGATGGATGGATGGCTGTCGCCGTTGGACTGGTGAGGTTACGCGAAGCGTCTAGAAATTGATTGCGTTCGAGCGGTGCATCGAGGAGACCGGGCTGATCGTTAGATGGTGCCACTCCGAGGCGAACCTGAGCGACAGCCTCACCAAGGCAGCGGCCCACGGGCCGATCGAACTCCACATGAAGACAGACTACTGGGCTTTAGTCGCCGACGAGAAGCTCAGCGCCAAGCAGAAAGAGAGACGAACAAACGAGACCTCGCCGACCTCATCCGAGATGTGTTCAAGCACGCGGAAATATCACTACCAGATGCTGCAGATGGTGGTGAAGATGCTGATTGGGATCATGTCTGCAACGGGCCCCTGGACAGAGATTGACTTCTGAGTGGCCACGGCCGCGGATGCTAGCCTCAGGTGGGGCGTGTGCCCCTACAGGCGGGCTTGGGAGGATACATGAAGAACATCCAAGAACTATTCAAACATAGTTGAAAAGAATTGGCAAAATCGTTCCCGCTGTATTTTTTTGACCATTTTTGGATTCTCCTCCTGGAGAGGGACGGGCCCGACTTCATGCTAGCCAGCAGCCTTTGAGAGGCCCGGCGAGCGGGCGCCCGAAAACTGAATGTCCCTGCAGTGCCAGACGTGGCAGACGGCACCGTGATATGTGAAGGGGCCCTGGGACACACAAATAAATACACACAAATAAGAAGATCCCCAATCTATTTTTCATATTTTCTGGGTTTTTGTCTTCCCCCCCGCTTCCCATATTTTCCCATATTTTCTGGGGAATCGACGATTAATGGTGTCTGTGTGTTATTTCTCTCCTGAATATGACGCGCCATGTCGGCAGCAATTGATTGATTGGCCCTCCCTCGAGCCAGGATTAGAAGAGGAGACAACCACACAAACATAACCTTTTTGGCGCTCCGCGCGGACTTCTTAGATCCGCGCTGGGCCCCCCCCTCCGGCGCCGCCCCTGGCGCGCTCCGCGCGCCAGGGAGGGGGGGGGCCCAGCGCGGATCCAAGACATCCGCGCGGAGCGCCAAAAACATCTGTGTATGTGGTTTCCTTTTTCTTCTTCAAAGGATGCAGATAGCAGAGCCAGCAACCATTTCCGGGGGTGTTGTAAGCCCACTTGTGCACTGCCTGCTGCTCCGCAACCGTTTGTGCTCGAAGGGGCCCCATGAAACCGCCTTTGGGCGTTTGTTTGAACACTTGCGGGTTTCAGGGAGCTCGTACCATACGGATATTCACAAAGATCAAACGAACGTATATTGCCACACGGAATCCCACCGTGTTGAGGCACGCAGAATTTACTGGAGCAAGGTACTAGCTGGTGTCACACTTGTGGGCGAGAGCTCAGCTGGCCCGCTACTCGCGCTGGGAATAGAAGGTCTCATATCCACGGAACTAGCATCATCGAGGCTGACCCCGACACCGAGATCGGGAGCAATATCGGTGTACCCGCACCTTCCCCCTTCCCTCGCCCTCCCCATCCCTGGTCGTCCTCCTCCTCTACCCCCCTCCTCCATCCCCCCTTCTTGGGGTATGACGGCTTCTCTTACCCCCCACTCCACTGCGTGCTCCTCCACATCCCGAGATCTGGGCAAACCGCCTGGGCAGCGTTTCTGGATGGCCTGGCGGGGCTGCGCGAATCGGCTAAGATTGCGCACGCAGTCGAAAACGAAGCGGCCGCGGACTAAGGTCGAAGGGTGGAGACGCGCTGAGAACACGAAACACTTCACTAAAATCACAAACACCTGTATAGACATAAACTTTTGGCGCTCCGCGCGGAATTCTCGGATCCGCGCTGGACGCCCCTCCCCGGCGCGAGGAGCGCGCCAGGGGCGGCGCCGGAGGCGGCGCCGGAGGCGCCGTCGGGGGGGGGGGCCCCAGCGCGGATCCAAGAAATCCGTGCGGAGCGCCAGAAGTTTATGTTTATGCCGTTTTCTCTTCCTCGATTCACGCGCGGTGCTGGCGGCCTCGGGTTCCAGGTGGCAAATGGACGGCGACGCAGAGGTTGATGGGCCTGTTTTCCACCACCACCACCATAAGTTGGAGGGGGGAAGGAAGTGGAGGATGAGGAGGATGAGGAGGATGAGGAGGAGGAGGAGGAGGAGGAGGAGGAGGAGGAGGAGGAGGACCCCCTCCCCCTCCAACTTATGGTGGTGGTAGTGGAGAACAGGCCCATTCCGTTTTTTGCTCCTGCTCATGACGTCGGCGGGTGCGACGGCAAACCCTCCCCCTTGGAATGCCGCCCCCCCTCGCACCGCCCCACAGTGCGCGCCGCCAAAGTGGGGGCGGCTGCCTGGAAAAGCCGCCCTAGTCCTCGCGGGGGTGCCAGAGGCCCTTTTTCGCGAATATGGCATCTTCTGCTGAGGGGTGCGTGGCGTCCTCAGGCTTCCGGATCCCACCAAGCGAGCGAGCGAACGGGAGGGATAGTTCCCCCCCTCCACCCAGGACAGACCATCGGATCTCCCGCGGAGCGTCCTTGACCAGGAGTTCGAAGCGACCACGGCCGTGGCGACGGAACCCCGAAGGCCCCGACACCATTGAGGAAGCGGAGATCCTGGATGTCGAACTACTAGCAGACCGCTCGCACGGAGGCCCCCGGCAAGCGCGCGCGAGGGCCTCCATGTGCTGGACGGCCTTCAACCGAGAAAATAAGTTGGGAGCCTAATGATTTCTGAACCAAATATTACCGAAGGCCCCGAGGAGGAGGAGGAGGAGGAGGAGGAGGAGGAGGAGGAGGAGGAGGAGGGGGAGGGGGACGAGGATCCTCCCCATTCTCCTCGTACTCCTCGTTTCCCTTCTAATCTCTTTTTCCTCGCCCTCCCGCTGAACCCAGCCGCTCAAAAAAAGCAGGTCCCGAGACCCGTGCGTGGGGGCCACCCTGACAGCCTGCTTGAAAGCGGGGGTGGTGGCTCGATCCGTCCTCCTCCTCGCCCCTTCTCCTCCTCCCCTCCCCTCTGCCCCCTCCCCTCGCCTCTCACTGCAGTCAAAATCCATGGTAAGGATGCGAGGTAAGAATACAAGACCCTTGGAAGTCCCATGTACCTTTTCAAGCTTCTTGGATTTAGCGCCGAGGCAGCAGGGATGCAAGGGCACCCTTGAGAAATCAACGCATCCCTACTGTGGATTTCGACTGTATCCCCCTCCTCCCCTTGAGGTCCTGACCGTCTCCTGGGCCCCTTCCCTGCCGGCCTCCTCCCAGACAGCGCGCGGGCTGCCCGCAGGAGACGCCGCGACCCGTGCGCCAGTCCCCACCCCAGCCCGTCCTCGCTGGCGCCGATGCTCAGGCGCCGCCCGTAGCGCGCCTGCGGTCGTCGCGGCGGAGCGCGAGGACGAGGAGGGCCTCCTCCTCCTCCTTCTGCTCCTCCTCCTCCTCCTCCTGCTGCTGCTGCTGCTCCTCCTCCTTCTCCTCCTCCTCCTCCTCCTCCTCCTCCTCCCTTCTCCTGCCTTACCCTGCCTCCTCCTCCTCCTCTCCTCTCCTCCTCCTCCTCCTCCTTCTCCTCCTTCTCCTCCTCGTCCTCCTTCTCCTGGTCGTCGGCGATGTGGTCGTCGATGTCGTCGAATAGCGGCGGCCGCAGCACCAGCGGCGGCGGCGGCCACGGGGTGGCTAAGCATGGAGGAGGAGACAAGGGCACAACATATAGACCAGAAATTGTGACGATCTCCGGCCAGTGCCGCCGATCTGGGGCATTCCCGCTGGTGCTCGGGTTCGCTTGGAGGCCTACGGGGCCGTCTTGGGGCCCTCTTGAGGCCGTCGTAGGAGGAGGCCTCTTGAGGGTGTCTTTGAACCTCTTGGCGGTTTCTTGGAACCTTTTTTGGCTGTCTTAGGGCGTTCCTGGCCCGTCAGGCGCCGTCGGATGCCGTCTTGGGCGCCTGGGTGCGCTGTCTGGGAGCACTCTGGGGGTGCTTCAGGGCCGTCTCGGAAGCTATCTTGGCAATCTTGGGGGCCTATGGGGTCGTCTTGAAACCCTCTCGGGGCCGTCTTAGGAGCTTCTTGGGCCGTCATGGGGCCATCTTGGAGGCCTCTGGGGCGATTTTTTGGGCCTCTAGGGCCGTCGGAAGGCCTAAAATAATGAAGCGCCGTGATCCTTCAAAAGCACATAGAAAATCAATGGTTCGAGCATTGAGGGCATCCTGGGCCATCTTGGGCTCTCTGGCCCCCACGGTGGGAATTTGGCGTTTTTTTACGTTTCCCAGCCCCTGCCGGAAAACGGAACACAGGCGCCCCCCGCCCCCTTCCCCCTTCCCTGACAGAGCCCTCCCAGCCCCCGCCCAGCAGAGCTGAAGGTCAAGCTATAGATCGGCGGACTTGGAATGCCCATGCGAAATGGACGACAAACAACAAGGATCGACACGCATCCTTGTGACCAGCACTGCTTTTACAGCACAGTGCAAGCGGGTGGAGCACGTCCGAAAGTGACGTGCTGGAGACACTGCCGTCAGTCAACCGCGCAAGCCGGAACTTGAGACACCCGATGGGTACCCTCGCCACACAAAAACGCCCACTCTGGGGGCTGCGCGTCTGAGCGCTGCCGTTCGGTCTCCTCGCGGGCGCGCAGGGCCTGCGCGCAGGTCGGGCCGCGCGCCGCAGGGGGCTTCTTCGCGGCATATCGGGGGACGGGGGAGGGAGGAGGAGGGAGGGAGGGGCAGGGCGAGGGGAGGAGGAGGAGGAGGAGGAGGAGGAGGAGGAGGAGGAGGAGGAGGAGAAGGAGGAGGAGGAGGAGGAGGAAAAGGAGGAGGAGGAGGAGGAGAAGGAGGAAGAGGAGGAGGAGGAGGAGCAGGAGGAGGAGGAAGAGGAGGAGGAGGAGGTTGTTTGTTGGGGACGGGCCTAAAGCCTGAGACTTCATGATCACTCGAGATCGCACGAGTCGGGATCAGACTCGTCTCCGAAGAGAATCTGAGGACGCGTCGAAACCTCCCCCCAGACCTTCACCCAGGGGAGGTCGTCCTGTTCGAAGCCACACGAATCCCAAACTTGTTCCCTCGAAGCATCGCCGTGAGAGAAGCCTAGAAGCTCTGGCCCACCAGTCTGCAGCATGGGCCCGAGATCCCGACGCAAGCCTTTCGGGCACCGTCCGACGCTCGACAAGGTCAAGGCCCTCGGGGGCCCCTAGCTGCAGATCCTCCAAAGCCTTCTTATACGACGGGAACTCGCTGTGTCGAATTCGTCTCAAATGGTCCGAAATTCCGCCCGTGCCCGTCCTGGTGCCGACGCGGCCCCAGGGCCCCAGAGTTGGGGCTGCCTGACAAGAACACTCCGCACTCGCAGCAGAAAACAAATCCGACTCCGAGGGCCCCCATCGACTTGTCAGAACAGGGGCCGCCAGGAGAGCGCGGCCGTTGGCCCGAAAAACCTGGCGAGCGAAAGACATCCAATCCTCCCACAGGTCCTCCCCACCGGCCCCCGTCCTCTGGTCGTCGGCCAGGGCCTGCTGACAGGGCTTTCCCCCGTCGTCGTTCGCAGGCGCCGCTGCCGAGCAGGAGCATCGAAGAGGCTGGGCGCCCGCTGGATGTGCCACTAGGCCGACCGCGTCGCGATGTTCGTGTTCCGCTCCACTGATCGCCACCTCAAGAGCCCCAGCCCACCGACACGCCTCTTGAGTCATACTCTTGAGGCCTCGGTAGACGCTGGCATCCTCGTCTGTGATGCCATGGGCGTCGGATCCTCGTTTGGCGAAATCGTCGGCGGCTGCATTTGCTCTCTGCTCCCGGACCGTGCTCCTTTGAGACTCGATGTCCGAGGCTGTGGCACGGCCCAGGGTCTCGAAAGCTTCGAAATCTCCAGAGGGGACACAACTCCAAGACGAGGGCCCCGCAGGCACCCCCTACGAGCCCCGCGGAGGAGCCGGGCACGTTGGCCAGCGAATCCAAAGTGCTCTGGCCCTCCATATACCACTGGAACAGATGCAGGCCGAGCTGGGTAGGCATATAGACAGCACCGTCTCCCCCGTGTTTGCAGGTCTGCTGCGGGGCTGCACTCGGAGGAACGACACCATGAGCTGCTGGGATCGCGCGTCCGAGCCGGTCGACCGACACCATGGCCCACCCTGCCCTCGCGAGCCCATCGAGGCACGTGAACTTCGCCGACCCGTCCAGGAATGAAGGACCAGAGAGCACCCCGTCTCCTGGCTCGTTCCCCCAGTAAGCTCTCTGCTCGGGCTCGGGCCGAGCGAACAAGCCTCGAAGATCCGGAAACACACATCTCGCAAACCTCTCACACGTAACAGTTTCCCACTTGCTGTTCGAGAACTTCAACCGCACGCATCTCGCTCGCGAGGCACCATCCGAAGCACGTCGTGGGCGGGGCGCTCGTGCCGGCGATGCCAAAATGTGTCTCGGCGTCCTCGACATGGTTAGCGTGGCTCTTCAGCGTGACGGCCGCGCAAAAAATGCGAGCTTGAGGCTAGTGGCCAGTGCGCGTTGCGTACCAGCCCTGAAGGCACCTGTGATGATGCTTGCCCCAGGTCGGACTCCGAGCCTTGAACATTCTAGAGACTCTTGACCAAAAGATGGGGAACACAGGCGGCCCGTCAAGGCCACCCTGGCGGTGCAAACCATGTCGATCGGACCCGCGGAGCGGCTCCATGGCGCGCTGAGAGTCTGAGCCTGCATGGGCGACAGCTGCAGCAGGTTGCACCCCGCGTTTTCATCGGACACGGCGTGGGGGTGATCTTTGAAATCCAAGCGCATGCCCCTCCGAGTCAGCAGCGCCACTTCTGCTGGGGAAGAAGCCGAGCGCCAAGGATGAGCTACGTTCTTAAGCTTCTCCTTGGGTGCCAGCCAGGATTGGGGCGTGGGGGGCCGCCTCCCGGACAGCAGTGGTCCACAGAAAGACCACGTGCCCAACGTAGATCACGAACAGGTCCACCTTGAACCCTATGCTGAAGGTTTATGTTGCTCCCATCGTATTTAAGGACCACAACCCAGAAATGCGTTCGAGCACCCGGAAAAGAGGCGACACAATGTCGAACGTCTCCCAGGGCCTAACACGTGTAAGCCCTTGAAGTTTGATGCTGTCTTGGTGCTCGAAAATTTTTCTGATGGTTCAGGCTGACGTAACTTGGAACATCATAACTGTAGGTGTACATCCTGGGCCCCACAGAAGCGCCTCGAGGAAGCTTGCCTAAGGAGCTCACCGCCGACATGCGTAGGCCCGCCATCTTAGCAGGAGCCGCCCCAGAGACACTGGAACCCCAGAGCGCCGACGCAGCGGGGCCCATCCTGTGCACCAAATTGATGTCGGCCCCAGCCCCCAGATGGATCTTGAGCCAACTGGCTCTAGCAGTGGCACCCACCATCTGCGAGTTTTGAATCCCGACACGCCTGACACCTGAAAGAGTGGCATTGGTACCAAAGGTCCTGGTCGTCTGGCCTCTGCAAGTCTTGGGGGGGCTCTACAGCGGGCTGAGCTGCGCCTCCACCTCCTTGCTGCAAAGGTGGGGGCACTTTCTATACTCCACGGGAAGCGCGAGGCCCTTGAAAGACTTACACAGGAACTCGACTCCACCTGCCAGCTGCCTTGCCACCTGCAGCTGAGGGCCGCAGCTCTGAAGAGTGCTATCGTCCACGACGTTGCGCACGCACAGCAGCTGCCTGCGCTCGCGCGCCTCGAGCAAGGCCCGAGGAGGAACACCTTGGCAAACGTTGTCGCGCCTGAGCAGCCAGCAGCAATTGTGCCATTAGCCTGCGCAACTTGCGAGTCTGCACCACCATAGAGAAGCATACGAAAACCAACAAACATTGTACAATCGCCTCTCAGGAGGCGCACTGAAAAAACAAAACGCTTCGCCGACGAACACATCTGCTCGTGGACCGCGTTTTCATACAACTTGGCCAAATCCAAAGAGTGCCGACGCCGACGCAAAACCTGATGAACGACAATGCGCCCCAGAAAGATTGTGAACCCAGCCTGCCCGTTCACAGGTAGTGTCTGGTCCAGGGGCCCCGGAAGAAATCGAAGACATGTTTTTTTCTCCCAGGCTTTGAAATAAGGCTGCCTCAACCGACCCCATAACCTCATGAAGAAACACAATCAGCCAATCGGCCGGACCCCGCCCGATGGCTTATGCAGGAAGACCACGCTATTGAGGAACGTCCTGACGGCCGAGGGGTCGGTGTCGAACAGAGCGATTATCTCCAGGGCCTAGACTGGCGGGGCTCGTGGGAGCTGCAGCGCCCAGCGGGGGTGAAAGCCGTCCCAGTCGAGGCCCGCCTTGGGCTCGTACCTCTTGCAGCCCCTGGCCAAGTCCTCGAGGCGGAGGCGCGCGCGCTCGCGTGGCAGCGCGGTGGCAAATATTTGTCAAAC